CCGCTTGGCGGAAAGAAGATGGAGCACAATCTACTTCTGTAACGATTTACAGCCTCAGAAACCCAATGTGGGTTGCTAAGTGAGAATCTATTCGATGGCAGTGAGTTTCGTTTTGTTTTTTTATCCAGTACATGTGGAACTGACGATGTGTTTTATTTTTTTTTAAATGTCGTGGGCAAGTATTATAAATGTCATCTGTATTTTTATCCAAATCACTGATTAAGAGGTTGAAAAGGACAAGACTAAGCACAGATGCCAGGGGCATGTCCCCAAAGCTCTGGAGGTAATCGTTAATCAATACTCTTTGGGGCCCCTTGTTCAATCAGCTGTGACCTCCCTAATTGTACAATGACTCAGCCCATGTTCTTTACATAAGAACATCATAAATATAGTTGTTACCCTGGGAAGGGAAGTGAACTGGAATGAAGACTCTTGTATCTGCATTGTTTCAAGAGAAGAGCCAAGAGAACCCTATGGGGCAGTTCTACTCTGCCACAATTAACTTGTAGGCACCTGACAACAAAGCTGGGAATGTACTCATGAACGTTCATGCAATGAAAAATACCTTTCTTGAGTAACATTGGGGGAAAAAAAAAAAAGCTGGCTGAAAAAATACATCCATTAAATCTTTGCCCAAATCAAGATACATCAGGTCCACAGCAAACCCCTGACCTGTATCTACACCTGTATCTCATCATGAGAAAATTTTTGTAACTCACACCAGCCAACAACAAAATCATTTATACACACACACACACACACACACACACAAAACCACTGCCTCGAGTCGCCTCCGACTCATAGCGACCCTTCCTTGGGTTTCTGAGATGGTATCACTACAAAAGTGCATTGCCAATCTTCCTTCCGAGGAGTGGCTGGTGGGTTTGAACTGCCATGCCAGCCTTCTGGTTAATAATCAAATGCCTTAGGTACTATGGCACCAGAGCTTCCAAATAATTTACAGTAAATATAAAAAAAAATAATAAAGAAACCCACACTAAGTGTTCAATAGTCATCTGTTTGAAAATTCCATGCTTTCTAGTCTGTAGTTTCTAAAAGGCAAAGCCTTATTTCCATTTCTGAAAAGTAGAACAAGAGTTTCCTGATCCGGTTTCCAGCACTGCTGCCCTCCTCACAGTTTCTTAAAGATTACCACAGCAGCTGTCAGTTCACTTCTGCAAGGTATGCCCTCCCACCCCACTCTTGACTCTAGGATACAGTCATCTGGGCCTGGAGACTTGAATATGCCTAAAAGTGGCACAAATGGTTAAGTGCTTGGGTGTTAAGCGAAAGCTTAGTGGTTCAAACCTACCCAGCAGCTCCATAGGGGAGAGACCTGGAGATCTGTCCCTGTTAAGATTACATCCAAGAAAACTCTATGGGACAGTTCTATTCTATCACATCAGGTCACTACGGACCAAAATTGACTTGTCAGCATCTGACAACAAAGCTACAAGATGCTCTTTTTACCTCATGTATGTGACTTTAATTTCCTTTTTCCAGCATTTATTTTTTCAGATTAAAGGACACTTCCCTTGATGGAGAAGACAGATAGCAGCCAAGACTTTTGTTCTGCTTTTTTGCTGTCCCTTGTTAATAAGACACTTCTAGTGCCAAGCAGTAGGGCTATTCACTTCTTGTTCATTTTGTTCCAAACACTGCTAAGAAAAACGCCACTTTTGGTGCCTTTTGCGAGCCTCAGACCATTCTGGACCTCATTCTCCACAGCCCACCTGATGGAGAGTCACAGAAGTCTTTGATCTGACCTTGGATATGTGCCCTCCTTTTCTATTCCTTTGATGCATTTTCAAACCAGAGCTTATGAAAGAGTGCCCATGCAGCTGCACTTGGAAAAGTTGACTTGCTTTTCTATCTTGGAATTGTTCATGCTTGTCAAAAGGCACTTCAGTTAAACAGAAGAAGAAATACTACCACACGAACTAGAGCTCAATTACAAGACAACTTCATTGATAAAACAATCTTTAATTTTCTTTTGGACCTGAAGTGGCTATACTTTCCTAGGAGCAGTACAAAACTCCAGTAAGTCTTTTATAAGAAGGATAATAATGGAGATGTACATAGGGCAATACAGGAGCACAAAGGACTCAGTGTTTTATTGTTGGGTGTTTTTTTTTTTTAAGAGATAAACAATATATTTGTATTACCTCATCAAGATCTTTGGCCTCTCTGCCCAATTCATCATCATCTTCATCAGAATCAAGCTCTGGTCCAATATAGTTCCCAAACTCATCATATAAGTCAGTATCCATGATGCTGAAATTCAAGGAGAAGAGTTAGATTCTGGCAAGGTAATCCAGATGCTCCATGACCCAGCCCCACCTTTATGATTGACCATATTTCTTCACAAACTTCAGACTGCTCCCCTAAAAGCCCTGTACTTACCCCTCTTCTCTGCCCCACTCATTGCTTATATGACCTCATATGGTTGCATACCCTACCCTCACTTCTTATTTTCTTTTAAAATAATTTAAAACAAAAGAGTTTTTTAAAAAAAAGTTTCAAGACTAATACAAATAACATTGTTTTTCCTAAATTACTCGAGACTAAGCTATCGACACAAGGCCTTCCCACTCCGTAATACTTTAATGCAAGAATCAGAAAACTATGGCTTACTGCCTTTGTACCACCCATGAGCTAATGTTCTTTGCATTTTTAAACAACTGGAATTTTTTGATATTTCATGATACAGGAAAATAAATTATATAAAATTCAACAATATCAGCATCTATAAAGCTTTATTGGAACACAACCACACTCTTTCCTTTATCTTGTTTAAGGTTCCTTTAGAGGAATTCCTGGGTGGCACAAATGTTAAACATTCGACCACTGGCTGAAAGTTTTAAACTCACCTAGAGGCACCTCGGAACACAAGCCTGGCGATCTCCTTCTGCAAAAAAAAGGTCACAGCTTTGAAAACCCTATGGAGCAGTTCTACTCTGCACACGAGGTCGCCATGAGTCGAAATCTACTCGATGTGACTGACGACAACAACAATGCCGCTACAGACCTCTGCACCTTCATCAACATTTATGTGTCTTTGAATTGCAGTTAAACGTACTGCTAAATACCCTCACTGCTCGTTTCCCAACCATAACTTAAGCGAGAACTTTGTTTTATTCACTTAGAATGAAACAATACGTATTTATTGAATGACTGAATAACTCCAAGGCACAGAGAAGCTGGCTGACTTGCTCACAGTTGCACAAAGCTAGTTAGTGACTTGATGCCCGTCCTCATTGCAACTTCTCGCTATCACGCAAAATCCCAAAAGAAAATCCAATGAGGATGGAGTGAGGGCGACCCAGAGGAGGAAGTGAAAGGGGACTAGACAGAGCATGACCCTTGACGATGGGGTTTATAGGTGAACGATATCGAGGAAACCCCAGGACGGGTGGGGCGCGGGAGTCTCTTAGAATCGGTCCCTTTTCCAGTCTAGGCCTCAATTTCCCCATCTGTAAAGTGAAAGAGGATTGACAGTATATACAGTCTCTTCTGTATCTGATGTCCTTTAATTCCCCATCCCAGGCGTAGCAACTTTCTCATTCCGTTGAACCGCGACAGCTCACCTCGAGTGGACTCAGCCAGGAGCCCCAATTCTGCCGCGGAAGACCGCACTTCCAACCCACGCCCCGCCGACGCCTGCGCCCGCCGTCAGGAAGGACCCCGCAGACGCCGCGGCAGCGTTTCTGCCCCCAGAGGACAACTTTCCGCCTGAGGAGCTGCTCGGAGTAGTGCCGGCAGCGGAGACAGTAACACTGGTGAGATGGAGTCCTGAGTCTCCGACTCAGGCTGTCCCAAAGAGAGTATGAACTAATAGCGCTTGAATTTGATCAGGCGTCTCTTGGACACCCTGAAAAGGGGGCCTTTGGTAAGATCACATGGGCAGGATGTTGGGGCAGTTGCTGGGCAACCACAGCTGCTGGGCGTGGTTTTCTCCAAGCCGCTTTTTTTTCTAGGTGTTTCAGGGGCTCCCCAAAGAAAGCCAGGGGTCTGAGACCCTAGCTTCTGAGATGAAGGTCCGTGTGTCTGAATTAGGGGGGGCAGAAGGGTTAGTTGCTCTATCCGTTCACCTACGGGGAAGAGCTTAGAACTAGCAAGAGCTAGGTTGCCTGAGTTCAGTTGCTGGTCTGGCGCACCCCATCGCCTTGTATGGAGTTTCACTTCCCAGCGTGGGGTTGAGGGTGGCTCTGGAGTTAGATGAGGACCTCCCACTTCCCTGCCCTAAGGCTGTTAATGATGACTCCGCCAAAAATCTAGCCTAATCCACCAGGAAGTTCAGAGAGGTCTTACAAGAAATAAATGTCAGACTAGAACCTACATAGATAACCTGCCTGTAGAAAGGGCCTATCAGCTTCAAATACGTGGAGGCTGGAGAAGAGTAGTAGCAGGACTAAGGAGGTAGCCCAAGTACATAGGGGCCTGTACTTCCAACTCTGGGCTGTTAGAGGAATTTGAGGACAGTGATCCCCTTCCTCTGCCATTTCTACTTGATTTCCTGCTTAGTCATTGCGTCTGTTTGGGTGAAAAGTATCCTCCCCAGTAAAAGATGTTTAATGAAGGATGGGGTTTTTTTCCTGGAGCTCTAGAGTAGCTGACAGTTTTTCAGCTTTTATATCAGGTCTTCTATACCAACAATTCACTATAAAGGGACTGAATTCTGAGATCCAAATGTCCCCTCACCCAAAGCACCTAAATTAAAATACATATTTCTCAAGGCAGAAAACAAAATTAAGACAGGGCTCCAAACTTAAAATCATCAACAAGTCTTGTGCAAGTCCCCACTGGGCAGCTCGGCTCACCTCTGTAAAGTAAAAAGCTAGATTTTTAAAAAACTACCTTCTTCTTCAAGATAAATGACAAGATACCCAGAGTGCTTTGGGGTCATTTTGTGGGCTGGCCAAGAATCTAGAGGCTCTTTTTTCCTCCCTGGTATTGACCCTCTGCTGATACCCATTCCTTTGTCTTCTGAGGCCCAGGCCATGGAAAGGAATGACGTCATCGACTTCAAGGCTTTGGAGAAAGAGCTGCAAGCTGCACTCGCTGCTGATGAGAAGTACAAGCGGGAGAATGCTGCCAAGTTACGGGCAGTGGAACAGAGGGTGGCTTCCTATGAGGAATTCAGGTTGGCTCACTGCTATTTCCCTGTTACAGTGAACGATAGTGGATAAAGGCAAAGGCCCTGGAATCAGATAATTCTGGGCTTCAGTTCTGGCCTCACCCCTTATTAGCTGTGTGATCTTGTGCAAGTTACGGAACCTCTCTGAGCCTCAATTCTTGTGATAAGGCATTGGTTTCATAAACCAAAGATTGTGGGTTTGAACCCCGTCCATGCCTGCGACCTGAGGTTGGGGATTCGGCCGCGAGACTGTGATGTCCTCGCATGAATTGTTCATTCCCCTCCTCCACATGGCATTTTAGGACCTCTGATGTTGTAGTGCCTAAGGCACTTGACTGCTAACGAGAAGGCTGGCAGTTCAAACCCACCAACCACTCCTTGGAAGGAAGGTTGGGCAATCTACTTCCATAGTGATACTGCCTCAGAAACCCAAGAAGGTGTCACTATGAGTTGGGTCTGACTTCAACGGCACATAACAACAACAAAATGAAAGCAATTGTGGTATTGATTAAATGAGTTATTGTACATAAGACTCTAAGCACAGTATCTAGCACAAACAAAGTGACCAAAAACTGTCAACTATTGTTGCTATTATTATTGTCATTTTTGATCTCTGTCTTCTTGGTTTCCTAAGGCTGCTATAACAGAAACACCACAACTGTTGGCGTTAATGTACAGAAATTTATTTTCTCACGGTTTTGGAGGCTGAAAGTCCAAGTCAGGGTCTCAGCTGTGTTGATTCTTTCCTTGCTGGCAGCCCAGGCGTTCCTTGGTTGCTTAGCAATCCTCATAGGCATCTGTCTTCCCCCCGTGTGTGTTTGTGTCTAATGTCTTTTTATAACTCACAAGTGATTAGGGTTAGGACAGTCCCTACACAGATATGGCCTCATTAACATACCAAAGACAACCCCATTTCCAAACAGGATTACACCTACAGGTATAGGAGTTAAGATTCCAACACATATTTTTTGGGAACACCATTCAATTCATAACAGCCTGTTAACAGATTCAGGCCATATCATTGCAAAGTCCAGCTACCTCACATTCACTTGTAACAGCGTGAAGTCCACCTCTCAGTCTCTATCCCTTGCCCACAGGGGTATTGTCCTTGCTTCACATCTGAAACCTCTGGAGCAGAAGGATAAGATGGGAGGAAAGAGAACCATGCCATGGAACTGTTACACTACTCAGGAAAGCACCTCTCAGAATGAGGCCACTGAAATATTTCAGGTAGGTGAGGCCCAGCCTCTTCAGCCCAGCAGGATCTCTGCCCTAAACTCCCAAACCTATCTTCTCACAACATATACCTCTGCCATATTTTTAATGTTAAGCCAATGGAGGCAGTTTCTATCTCTGATCCCAGAGTCAAGAAAGTAGGCTGGGCAGGCCCCCTTCAGCCAGTCCTTTGACTTTCATTCTCAGAGCAGATTTGAGTTTCTTTACCTCCAACTTGTACTGTATACTGTGTAATGATCGTGTGGCAGTGTTGGAGGGAGACTCAAGCCTATCAGATCCTGACATTTACCTTGAGTTCCTTCCTTTTTTCCTGAAATTTCCAAACATCCCCTCTACCTTGTTCAAAGTATACCCTGACTTACTCTTGTAGACCAGGGCTATGTCCCCATTTATCAGAGGGAAAATTCTAGTACCACTGAGAATCTCAACCCATGGCTTGGTTTTCCTTAGGGCTTTCCTCTTGCCCACCCTCAGCTCCCTGATCTGAAAATAAGGTCCACAGGATGACTTCACAGTGCTCAGAGAGCAGTACCAGAGCTAAGATGAAAACCTACCCTACAGGCTGCCCTCCCTGTCCCAGAACAACTGGAGAGCTCTGATCTCCCTTTCCTTCTTCCTTTGTGATCTAGGAGAAAACACTTCTCCAGCCTGAGACCTCAGCAGAGTTCTACCGCAACTGGCGACGACACTTGCAGAGTGGGCCAGAGCGCTATCAGGCCCTGCTGCAGCTTGGGGGCCCAAAGCTGGGCCGCCTCTTCCAGACGGATGTGGGGTTTGGACTTCTAGGGGAGCTGCTGGTGGCGCTGGCTGATCATGTGAGGCCACCTGACTGGGTGGCCGTTCTGGGGATCTTACACAGCCTGGCCAGCACTGGGCGCTTCACCTTGAACCTGAGTCTGCTGAGCCATGCAGAGAGGGAGAGCTGCAAGAGTTTGTTTCAGAAGCTTCAGGCCATGAGCGTCCCTAGACCCATGAAGGAGGGGCTCAGCCAAGATGAGCAGGGTCGAGAGGAGCAGCCTGGTGGGCCCCAGGAGGAGGAGAGGCTACTACATGAGCTACTGAGGCTGTACCAGGTAGACTGATAAGACCAGCTTTCCTCAGAGGCCCCAGTGGTCACTCGAAGTATTTTTAATTGGTGATTGTCTTGAGGCAATGCAGGACTATTATGAGAATCCCACTATTATGATTGTCTTCTCAACTTGGGAATTTTCAGAGCAAAAGCAGGAATTGAGTCTTCTCCACTTTGCCAGTCCCTGAGTGGCTCTGTATTTTTTACCTGTGTGGGCAGTCAAGGGCCCAAGAAGTTGAAAGCAGTTTTGCTTCCTATCCTTCAGTGGCATCCTTAGAGCTTGCCAAGCCTCTGGCCCCCTGGCCTTGAGAGATGGGTGTGTGCCCACCCAAATGCTGCCAACAATTATGCCCTCCACTCAAAGAAAGCTAAAAGCAAAGTCGTTCAACTTCCATGTAAATAAGTACTAATCTCCACAGCTCTCAATAAGAATATTTACAACCCCAAACCAATGAATGAGCATGTGAGTAGTGAATGACCAAATACTACCTGGTTTGGGGTGCAGCATTTCTTGCTGGACCCAGTTGCTGTGCAGGTTGGGTCTGGGAAAGCCTCACGCTATCAGCTCAGGCCTAGCCAGTCTCCTAGGCTTCTGAAGATGGCCAGATGTGCAAGCCTACGGGTTTCCTCCATCTCTCAGACTGGCAAAAGGGAGTTGTTTTCCATCAGGCAGGTGTTCCAGAGCCTGGAGCAGCAAGGCAGCGATTTCCCTGTCCTACTACCTGAGCCCTTGCTCCTCACTCCTGTGTCCCTCAACCCATTCTTGTGTGAGTGCCAGTGTTCTAGAAAGGGGTGTGGGGGCCAGGTTCTAGAATGCTTTTTTCCCTGAGACCAGGTCTGGAACATTAGAAGGGCATCTTGTACCTCAACTGGAAATAAATTGCCTAGCCTTTGGCAACTTCTTCTGCAGCCCATTGTTTGTTTTCCTAGCTGCTTAATCCTTTCCTCTGCTCCTGCTCCTGGAAATGAATTTGAAAAGCCTCCAAGGCCTTTAGTGCCTTGGTTTTGCCCTACAGCCTCTGACCCTTCTCTCCTGCAGGCATGAGTCTGGCCCACACCACTGTGCTTCTGTGGGTGTGGGGCAGTCTCCAGGCCTTTGAAATAGTGGAGAAGGAGAACATATTTCAGAAGACCCCCTGCCCAGCTTTCTTGATGTTTGACAATGCAGCCTACCTGGCCGACATGACCTTTGAGCTTCCCTGCCACTGCAAGCCCGAGAAGGTGTCAGCTGTGGTCTGGTATTACCAAAAACACCTAGGCAGCAGCCACACCAAAGTGCTGACAGACTTCGACGGGCGATTGCTGACGGAGGCGGCTCACGTGCGTGTGGGCAGTGACATGCTGGTCCGCTTCAGCATCCGTATGTTCAGCCTGCTGGTTTTCCGGGCCCAGCCTGAGGACTCCGGCCTGTATTTCTGTGGGACCCGCAAGGGGGACTACTTTTACGCCTATGACGTGGACGTCCAGAGCAATGAGGGCATGGTGGCCACCTTCAAGGACGAGGGCCAGGAGCCCTTTGAAGATGAGTACCACAGCGACCTCCGTGTCTTCACCACTTTCTGGGACTGGACCCCCTGTGACCGCTGTGGGGTGCGTGGGGAACAGTGGCGCATTGGCCTCTGCTACCTGCAGAGCCCAGACCTCTCCCCACGCTACCACATGGCACTGCCCAACGTGGTGTCCTGTGGTTCTCGGGCTGTACCAAGGAAGCTACGGATTGTGGCCAGCGACCACAGGCCTGAGCTGCTGGTTCGGAGCTGCCTGGTGTCTTGTGAGAAGAGGAAGACCATCCAAGAGGGGATGCTGGCCATCTTCAACTATGTGTCCAAAGTGGGCAGCCGGCCCTGGGTTCCCCAGGTGCCCATTCAGTTCCACCAGCAGAGACTAGGCCACGGACTCATCATCTCCTGCCCTGGTGCCCGGCCAGAGCACGCTGTGGCCTGGGACAAGGACCGCCAGCGCCTGTACCGCACACAGTATCTGAAGGGTGTCAACAGGTCCATGCGGGTGTTCATTGACCAAGGCAACCATCTGCACATCCGCTTCACCCAGTTGAGTGACCGGGGCATCTACTATTGCTGGCGGCAGGGGGTGAAGGTTGCCGGGTTCCGGCTGGCTGTGAAATCCCGAGGGCACTACCAGGTCTCCTTCTCAGACCCTGAGACTCGCTCTGTCCTCCAGCTCACCCTGATAGGCTACCTGCTCATCACAGCAGTCTTTGTTGTTATTCACCTCTGCCGTTGCAGCTGTTACTTATTTCGCTGCTGTCCCAACTTCTCCCCCTAGGACTGCTCTGTCTTCCCAGTCCTAAAGACCAGTTGTGCTTAAATGTGTTTGTGAAATGACACCAGATGCCTCTGAGTGGGCATTCTGGGCTGGGACATGTGGCAAGAGAGTGTGGACACATCTGTTAATTACAACCTGCTCCCCATGTTCACCGGTGGATATGGAGCCTGATCTGGGAGGTGAGGATGCCAGAGGCAGTTGGGAGTTTGGGGACTCGGGTCAGACTTGAGGGGAGCCAGCCAGGGTGCACATTTTCTGATTTTACACTCAAATCAGATATGAACCCAATATTTATCAAATGGCTGTTGTTGTTGTTGTTATGTGCCGCTGAGTCGAGCCTGACTCATAGCGACTCCTCTTTGGGTTTCCCAAGCGGTATCACTACGGAAGTAGATTGCCCAACCTTCCTTCCGAGGAGTGGCTGGTGGGTTTGAACTGCCAGCCTTCTGGATGGCAGCCAAATGCCTTAGGCACTACACTGCCAGAGCTCCCAGAAATACACAGCCCAGTCTATCTTGCGGGGAGCGGCTGGTGGGTTTGAACCACCAGCCTTGCTCTTGGCAGGCAAATACCTTAGGCCTGAAGCCATGAAATGGCCTACTCTGTGTTAAATAGTATTTGAGGTACTTTTACTTTTTTGCCTGTGGAGATTGCCAAGTGAATCCTGATTGAATTGGAGGGTAGCACGGAGAGGAAGGAAAAAAAGAGGAGGAGGGTCCTAGTCTGTAACTCCTTTGGCTTCCTCCCCAGCCTAGTCCTGGAACCGGTGGGACGGAATGGATGGTTTAGGAATCAAAAGTCAAGTCTTCCCAGAGGCACCTGGGGAGAAAGACCTGGTGATCTGATTCCAAAAATTCCGCCATTGAAGCTCTGACAGAGCAGGCTCCGTTGTGGCACACGTGGGGTCACCATGAGGCAGAGTCCACTTGGCAACCAGTAGGACAGGCAGGGAAAGTGGGGATCAAATTCAGAGCTTTCCTGAGACTGCACCCAGGCTTGGGGTTGGGGATGAGAACAGAGGGAGGGAGCAATAGGTCGGGGCTCCAGGCCTGCCATGGCAGAGCAGAGTTGGAGGGGGGATTGTCAGGAGGTTCTGGTTGCTGCTGTGGTGTTCGGGGGGGGGGGCTCCCCAACACGATCAGTGATAAGAAGCAAGTTGGGTCTTGTCCGAGGCAGTGCCTCTCCCAGCCCCACCTTCTCTGACAGACCCAGTCCACTCTGGGGAAGCCCATGGCATTTGTTTTTATTTTTTCTTCAATGACTAAAGGCAGCAGCATGTGGCAGGAGGGTTGGGGGGAGAGGGCACCAAGTCTTGGGAAAGATGGAAGGATCCCCACCTCTTCCTCCCTTTGGCCTTATAGCAGAGAGGGGACCCTGGAATGGGCCATCTCAGCCCCACTTCTGGGCCCACCACTGTCTTCCCAGGGAAAGCAGAGCAGGTGCGCTGGGGTGGAAGCTTCTACCCTGAGCTGCCCTACCTGCAGGCGGGTGCCTCAAGTTCTTGGCTTATAAAATAGGGTGCTGCCTAAAATATGGGGGTATGTTTTGTGTGTGAGTGACAGGGCACCCCAAGGGGTCCCTGACTTAGGGAAAAGCAGCTTGGTCTTTGTGGGGTAGAGAGGGTCAGATGCGTGGGATGGCTTCACCCAGGAGCACTGCCAAGGTCAGGAAGCAGAAGCCTCACAGGTGCAGAGGCCTGGATGGACAGGGACTAGAAAGCAAAGAGGCTTTTGGACTAGAACCTGCTGTGACACCCCCACACACATACCACATGCCTCCCCTGCCATGGGCAGCAGCCTCACACTCTCCTCGTTCAGCAGCATCTTCAAGAAGATGAGTCACTTCTTGATTTCCATGACCCAGAGGCCAATTGTTACCCACAGGCCCCCACCAGCTCTATCAGCACCCCCTCCAGCCTGTATGGGGGGTTTGACCTGTCTATACCCACACCCAGGGGCCAGGCAGCCCCCCATTGACTCTCTCCTGGCACCCCTTCCCTCTCCACTTACGCTATCATCCCCCAAGTGCTGAGAATCAAACTCTCACATGCCCACGGGATCCCACAGGCCACTTCCCTGGTTGGTGGCTCAGTGGGGCTGAGACACTTGAGTCATCACTTAGGAGCCCCTCTGGGATTGGGGCAGGCCAGGAATTCTGTCTGGTGACCACACCTGATGATAGGACATGTCCACCTACTCCCAGCTTGGCCAGGGTCAGGTGAGAAGAATAAACCTCTAGCCAGGACTTCCTTGCCTGTGGGGACTTCCCCTTCCTGTCTCAGAGTCTCAGTTTTCCTCCAGCAGCCCGAGGACATTCAAAGACCCAGTTCCTAGACATTCTGAGACTGGCTGCAGCAACAGTTGCCATAACAACAAGTATTGGGGATGTGGAGGGTAATTTATTAGGTCCCCCTTCTCTCCCCAGCTTTTCCCCTCCCTCCCAATTCTAATTCAAGCTGCTGGCCATGCTCCTGCAGGTGGCCCCTTTGGATGGGTGAGTGCAGTGCAGCTCCCAACATTTATGCTGTTAGTTGGAATCACTGGGTGCCAGTGGGTGTTGTCTGGCACCCCTAATGCTGATGGGGTCTAAGGCAACAAGCTGGCAAAGAGGTAGGGAGGGTGGGAACTCAGGTCTGGGGCAATTAGCTAACAAAGGCTACTCTGCCTCCTGCTGCAGACCCCTACACTGTGGAGCAGGGGCCACCAGGTGGGTCCTGTGTTACATCATGTCCTTATGCTCCTGCTTGGACTCCTTGATGACCTGCAGGGGACCAGGAAGGTACATAGTGCAACAGTTAGGAGTTCACACAGACCCAGCCCAGCCCACCACCGCTAGGCTGTGTAACCTTGGGCAAGTTCCCAACCTCCCTTAATCTTTCTTTTCTCTGATAATAATTGTATCAGTGGAGTAAAGGAGATAATGCTTGTAAAGCACTTTGCACAGCACCGGACACCCGGTAAGCTACTGCTTTAAGACTAGCTGTTACTGTTAACTGGTTTGAATGAGGAAGGACTGATGCCAGATCCCTCCTTCTCACCTCTGATAGCTTCCTTTAATCAAGCTGGAGATTGAAAACCCTCCCTCTTTCCAGGGTTGGGGGTGAAAGCCACTAACCACTAACCATAACCCTCTCTCTCCCTTAGGCCTGAGGCTCTGGGGGCGCCTGAGTCTGAGGGTGAGCAAGGGAGAGAGCCTGAGCTAGGACCCCATCTCGTGGCCTAGGCACCCAGGTGCTCCTCAGAACAGCCAGTGGAGGGACTGGAGAAATGAATTGCATCCAGTTCCCTGGAGAGCCCCTGTGAGTTGTCAAGGCCTTTCTGTGGGCCAGTCCCAGGCTGTCCTTGAGACTGGCCTCAGAATCCTCACCTCTCCATCCCGCATCTCCACGGTCTTCACCACGATGTTCCTCTTGAGGTGGCCTTCAGACACAGACTTGGTGTCCAGGCTGGTTTCTGCAGGCATGAGGACAGGAGGCCTCCCATGGGCTCTTGGGGATTAGGCATCCTCTCCCACTCCCAGCCCCCTCCCCCCAATCCGGAGCACAAGAGCCCATCTGACCAGCCAGGGAACAGCCGAGCCACTTCCAAAGGGGCAAGAGACTGTGGTGGGCAAGTGCTGGCTGCTCTGTCCAGTGCCCTGCTGTGTCTCCTGGCCTAGCTTCATTTCAGCCCCTCCACAAACCCTTGTCTGGCACATGGCTTTCTGACAACCCAGCATTGTGCCATGGAAGGTGCACATGGGCTTTGAAGTCAAGAAGACCAGAACTTGAGTCTCAGCTCAGCCAATAACCAGCCATTGGACCGTGGGAAAGTTTATTCATCTCTCAGCCTCAGTTTTCACCTGCAAAATGGGGACGATGGTGCCCACTTCTCTAGGTGGGAGTGAGGAGTCAGCAAATTGAAATAATGTCTGCTAAGCATCTGGCACATATTAGTACTCAATACACGGGCGTCCTTTGCCTGTCCCCTTTCCCTTTTCCTACTTCTCTCTGCGACTTACCTGCCTGATGGCCTTTTGCCACCTGGCATCTGCAAGTATCACTCTACCTGGTCAGCCTGGCTAATCTTTCTGAAGCTGAATGAAGCCCTGGGACATGCATATCAAGTGTTCCTAGAAGAAGAATTTTTGTTTTCCCCATCTGAGAATCATTCGAGGGCCACATACAAGTAAAAAGTAATGTAGTCCCCCCCCCCAGAGAGAAAAATATAACATGTCACATTCACTAATATTTAAAATTAAGAACAGAGAGCATAAACTTTTATTCACTATAAGAGCAGCAGTCTGGGAGAAATAATTCTCTGGGCTGAATCAACAATGAGGTGAGCAATAGCCTCAGGGACGGAGGAATTAAAGAGATGGCATGGCCGCCACCAGGCACTGCCAGACCCAAGGGGCCTCCCCAGCAGCAGGGATGAGATGAGGCACAGCCTGGCCTCACAGCCTATCTTCTGAGCACTCAAGGACCCCAGCACCTTGAGGATGCTGGGCTAGGCAATGGGGAGGCTAGCACTGGCCGGCATTGCTCATTTAACCTACACTTCCTCTGTGCCAGGTCCTGTGCTAGGCACTGAAGATGCTGGGAAAAAGATAAAAGTCCTTGCCCTTTAGGGGAAGCTTGGGAAGAGGGAGCCTAAGAGGCCCGGGAAAAGGGGCTTGGTGAGGCTCACTCCTTGTCAAGCTGAGAAAAATGCCTTGTCAGAGAGGCAGCAGCTAACCTAGAGCCGGCAGGGCTCCATTTACAGTCTGGTGTGCCACTATTGGTATAACTTGTATTGTGAGGCTTTTGAGATGTCTTGTAACCTTGTGACCTTCCCCTTCTCTGGTGCTTTTGTCCCCTGTAGTGACAAGCAGTTAAAAAAACAAAGACATAAAACACTCAGGCAGGCAGAACTTGCTCAGGAACCTGCTGACAGGGCAGAGGTTGAGACCCTCCCTCAGTTCTGCAGTGGAATGGGAGCGGGAAGAGAGGGACACAGGCCAGAGTAGGCCAGGAGCAGCTG